AGACGAATATCGCATCCGCTTGACCCGAAACCTCTTGGCGCTCGCGCCACGGGCGCCGGCGCCAAAATACTCTGAATCACTAAACTGGCTGAAAGTTTGTCAACTAGGGTAAATTGACCATGTGAACACGAATTTCACATTTATCTTGCATGAGAAATAGTATTCGCTCTTATTTGTGGCCCTAAAGAGGGCCGTTGGGTTAGTATTAATCGATTTCCGGAATTGGTAGAAGGCAGCCTAGCACGGATATAACCGTGCGACATGTTCGAAGAAGTTGAAGATGATTTCACTGGGTTTTCCAAATTCTCGACGCCATAGGAACTCTTTGATGTAGTGAGAGTACCGCTTGGTGTTCAATCCGAACTTCTTCTTGGGAATCATCTTGAACTTCTGCCACAAGGATTCGATGTTTTGGGTGTGTGCCCCAGTTAGAGGATCGACGAAATGGAGCATGTGGTTAACCGTCAGGTGCCTGTAGCCGGCTGGCAGTCGCGACAGCTGTGAGTACGCTCTCCATGAGTCCGACATGATGGTAGTTCCCGGTCGAATGAACTTGAGGATGATGCTCGTGAGTGTGGCTGCATCGCGACGTTTTACAAGCACCATGGAGGCTCGACCTGTAGTGGCACGTCGAACGTAGAAGGTTTATCAGCGAATACCAACAGAATATGAACAGAAGAAGAACTTACCCGACCGTCGCTTGGAGTAGCAGAGTCGACAATGAGCAATACAATGCAAGTGAGGTACTGAGGAGATACTGGGGCTAATCTTATCAGCCACACATCCTATCTCCTCAACACGACCACTCCCTCTTTCAATGCCACCGAACAGCCATTCCTTTCTACGCACAAGTCTGCCGCGGTTGTACTTCCTTCGTGTGACATTCGTTTCGTCAATCTCTACAGTGACTCCAGGCCCGCCAACAATGGGAGGGTTTTCCTTGTAATACTTGGAACAAATTCTTCGTAAATACTGCTCCCAGTGGGTCAACATCTTCCGACTGACTCCGAGCTCGAAAGACTTCGTTCTGAAGGAGCCGAACTCACGCAGCCAGAAGTAAGTGATTGCGAAGATGGTAGCCTCTGGAAGTTTGGAATTGGCGAACAAGCTTTTGTGTCTGACGGAGAGAGATGATGCTTCGTTCCGCACTGTCCCCGTTCACATCACCTGTATCAAAGCCGACACGTCGTCTTAATCGAAAGCATCCATGACACCAAACACTTGATGGCACATGGTGTAAACTATAGCCTAGTCGCAACTGTCGACTTCATGAGAATCCATTTTGAGCTTCTCAACTAGGTCGAGCCATTTGAAATCAGTCAGCTCCATCTCGCGGTTGCGGCGATGAAGTACGTTCAGAGCCATGAGAATAGCTAAATGAGGAGCAAAGGGGCTTCCCAAGTTAATAGGTCAGTTTTGAAGACGTCACCACGAGAAACACTCAATTCCCACACGATTCCGTGGGAAATCCCATTTCCCACGAGCTTGCGTGTGAAAGCTGGGCGAGCGCGGGATTTTCGAAGAAGCGTTGGTCATGCATTTTTTCATGCAATATGGAAGTGGTATTCGTGATCAGGGGGTCGAACTACCCCTGGAGCCAAGTTTTCAGCGAATTCTGCCCACGGAGAAAAAAGTCGGTCAGGAACTGGCCTGATTTCGGATGACTGGGGCAGTAAAGGGTAAATAGTGCCGAAATTCTCAAGCACACATAATGGGAATGAGGGCGGTCGGGTAGCACTATTCGCAAGGACTTCCGTACAGGCAAACATAATCTTCTGAGCTCAAGGTGTTAACTATAGGAAGCATTCAGAGAAATCGATCTATTACTACTGTATCACAGAAGGTCGATGCCGTTGATAATGAAAAACAACAGAATGAGGTTGCTAGAGCACAGGTAAAGGATGACATACAAAAGTTGTTTGATGCCCTCGAATTAACCAGATTACATTAGAAGGGCGTCTGGATAACAACGCAGGGATAATGAATGATTGCGATAATCCGCCTATCCGTATTCATTGACATTTTATCAGTGATATACTTTTCCACTGAAGAGTGATCTTGCAACTCATTTGTAGGATGCAGTCGACAGGGCAGTCTTCAATATTTCTTGTATCCAACAGCTGAATAGAACAGTGAGAGTGAAACAGTCAGAACGGAGCTTTGTGCAAGGCAACTGGATTTGAAGAGACTACACGACGAGAGAGGATGTGGGTGGAAATTTGTGAGCTGTTTGTGAGAGAAGACCACTTAGAAATTCTCTCCCAAATGTCGTCTCAGATATAACTTGCATGCACCTCGCACAACGCTTAATTTTTTCGAAATTCAACCTGCTTCACCTTATCGTTGTGCTAGGGGAAGTGCTAGCGAGTCAAAAAACTGTCGTCGACAGCGACCCTGAACCAGGGCGCGAATATATAGCGATTTTTAATTAGCAGACGTTTAAAATCACGAGGCGGAATTTGAATTCGATAATTTATAATTCAGTTAATCTAAGCGAACAGTTGATTTGTGAAGGGCAATACGCACGTGACCGTTACGAAACCGTTACGAACTTGACCTTTCAATCGGAGAACTATACGTAACCGTATTAACACCAAATGTGAGCTCTCACAGCTAATCTTATTAAACCTGGTACGGCCTCACATCAGCGAATACTTAAAATAAACTTAACACTTTTTAGTAGTCCTTGTTGTCAATTTTCCTGTATCTTTCAACGAATTTTTTTGTAATCCAATTTAGAAATATAGTGAACCTTCACTGAGATGTCAAAGCTTATAGCCGCAGTTCTCAGGCTACAACTTTCACTGATCATTTGAGGACGCTCGAAGCAATGAATCCCGTGTTGCTGACTTGACGATTCCCGTCTCTTTTCTAGGAGAAAGCTGAATTTTACATGCCTTTTCCAGTCCAGTTTTCCTTCAAATCTTCCTTGCTATTGGTGTTCTCCTTTACCGACCAATCACAGTGTTCATCAGGTGTCCGATCATGCTGCACATTTTCACTGCGAAACTTTTAAAAAATTAACTCAAGTGAAGAGGTAGATGTAATCACTACAGACATGTACAGCTCAAAATCGTGTAGATGTACAATCCCAACATGTCCATCGCTGCTATGTGAGCAGCACGTGAACCTTGCAGAATTTTATCTTTTTGCACATTTCTCTGTCTCTGCCTTGGACGCAAAAAGGCATTCAGCGCAGTAAGTGAGGGTGTTGCTGATGGTTACCTATGGGAGTTATTACACAGTGAAATATTTCACAGAAAAAAATGAAGTACGCAAGCCGTGCATCCTCTAAAGGACATTCAGATTGAGCGTGGAGTGGTTGAGCAATTGTGGTTGGAGCGTTGACAGCTTTTTACTGATTTTCGCCTAGTCGCATTCACCCATGACAGACAATCAGCTCAACTGACTCAACAGAAGAACCGTAGCCATAATGAGGACACTCTCGGAATGCAAAAAGAAAAGGTACCAGCACGCGTACCATGAGCGGCGGCGTGTGAGATAGGAGTGGCCGTATGTATGACGTTACAGATGTAGTACCCATGCTTTGACTCTTGAAACCTGATCTATCCAATATATCTTACGTTATTTGCTATGATGAGTGTTATTTGTTGCAGCAGATCGCGATTTGAAAGCTTTCGCAAAAATGCTGAGTTGTGGCAAAAGACGTGACCCACGCTAAGAGTCGATTCTGCGCACCACAGTGACAGGAGGTAAAACTGTCACCAATCTCTGCAGAGCAAATATCAATTTCGGAGCAGTTTGCGTGCTCAGTTTCCAAACTCAGAATTTTCAGTAACTTAGCTTTAGGATTTGATTCGTTCATCGCATAGAAACAGTGGCAACATCTTTAGTATGACTCCTCAGGAGCATGATTCAGAATCAAATGTTGGTGATCGTATCTAAGCTAATGCGTGCATTAATGAGACAATGCAAATAGTTGATCAGATTATAAGCCGCGATAGAATATTCACTTTTCAGTATGCAAAATAATGAGAACAACTAAAAAGAACAAATACAATGAGCAACAAAAGTTCGGCCTATCGGTGTGTTATCAACTTATATTAATCATTAGTGTTTTGAATTTACTTCCTCAGCCTAGGCAAAGCGTTGTCTCAAGCTGCGGAAAAAGAAGAAACCGTAAAAAAAAAGGTGATGATTGGTTGCTTGCTTGGAATTCTACTTTGACATAGGCTGAAGGTCAAAGTGGAACCTCTGACCACCACGTTGGCCTTCAGCTTCATGTCGAATTCTTAACTAATAGTTAGATGTGTAATGTGACTCGTGCTATATTGAGGAGGATCGTAGTCCACATGCGTTATCGTTTTAGTGTATGCCAATGGTGGTGAGTATGGAGGTGGAGCAGTTGATCGAGTGTGGTGATCTGAAGATGTTTCATAAAGGATATGAATGAATTCGATTACTTTTTGACCAATAGAATGATTACTATTACGGCCGCAACGGCGCAGAAATAGGTTTAGCTAGGTTGAAGATGACTCCTTATGGTTTCTTCTGGTTCAGCTGTAGTGACGATAAGATTGATTCAAATGCATAAATGCGCACTGAATTCGCTCGACGCACCAGAGAGAAAAGAGAAAAGAAACTCTCTGAAGCACTACGCCATGAGAAGGTAAGCGAGGAAGAAGTAAATGAATTTTGAAGGCCAACCAGCTGAAAACTCAAAAACATCTCTTACCCTAGAATATGGTTTACCAGTGTAAATCGGAAAGCATTTGGGGGAGAAAATGCCGAAGTGTTGGCAACGCATGAGGCATTTCTGCTGAGCATGGGGAAAATTCTCAAAAGGCTCGGCATATATCCAAGTAGGGTGGACCCCATCCGTCCAGTCACCTTTGATTTAGATAGCCTATGCATGGGAAATAGATCCCCTGTTTCCGAGTTTTCGTTTCGGCAAATTGATCGCTACTGTAAGAGCTCATCGGGATTGGCACTCCTTACAACAAGGCTCGTTTCGAAGTTTTCCAAAAAATTCTTTAATTCCCACAGCAATAAATGTAGTGTTGTGAACAATATGTGAAAACCTATAGGCTCCAAGATTCACCATGTTTCACCTGGGGACGACCGCTAGACCCGCTGTAGGACTTTCCCTAGTGTGGCTGCGCGCCCTCAAGCGTCACCACGACTGCCGCAACTATATCATCAGCCATGCGTGCATACATACAGTCTTTTTCGCAAGGGGCACAGTAAGTGCGCAATTATAGGACTATGCAAGGCTAAATAAAAGAAAAATTACAACCTTCCTTGTTTTCAACTACAATAAGTGGTCCAAGGCACGTGTTACATCTTCGTGCGAAGCAATCCATTCCTGTCACTGCGATAAACGCGAAGATGACAACCAGCAAGAAAACAGCTAATACCACAATTTGCACTTCTTCATGTGTCCAGTGTTCTGAAAATTTTTCGTTTTCGGAAGCTAAGCTGTCCAGTTTTTTTCCCAGAAGTCGTGGAGCAGCAAGACAATAAAGTTGAAGGATTCAGTTTGAGATACATCCCAATGAGGTTGTGCGTCACGTATCGTACATATAAGGGTGCACTAAGGCGACGGTTTTCATTATCCCGAAATGGCTGCGCTTTGAGGAGCTGTGGCCATCAATGATTTTTTCATACGGGAGACTATTTGCCATATTTTCCCAGATCGGACACATCTCTAACCCAGATCTCTTTCTGGGGAGAGAACTTTGCAAGTACAGGTCCACTCACAAAAAAATAGTTTCTCATCGTATATATGCATATATGGGAAGGAACGGCGCCTGACAACTTGTCCCTTAAAGGCAATTGGCACGACAAGTCCCTAAGACGAGTGGGATTAGTACGCCAGACAGGACGGATTTCGCGCCCCTAAACAGATGCTTAGCGCCTTTTCTAAGAAAGGTACCCTTATAAAGCCTTATCAAGCTGCAACATACCGACCCGAACTTTCACTGCACCCGCCCGCCCACAAATGGACGACCGTACCTGACCGTATGGACGACCGACTCGTATTGCTTCATTCGCTGGGTCAAATGTAAAGCGAACGGATTGGTATGAGGCGGCCGCGGTGCTGCATGGATAAATGAGTACATACGAGCAGCCGTACTACATTAGCGCTTATTTGCAAGATGCCTACGGGAGACTCGCCCGAAACTGTTTTCTGCGTCATCCAAAACGAAGGCTTTTTCTCGCAATTTCTTTTCCTTTTCACTTCGTTTTTTTCAGTCTTTTGCCACCATACAGCACATTGTTGGCATTTTGGACCAAGTACGAAAAGCCTGGAGCCTTTGAAAGATATCTGAATTCGAGAAAGATGAATCTGTTTCAAAGGAGGGATCCTCTTCAGATGCAGTCCATTGTCATTTGTTGAAAAAAACTGATTTTCCACAATTTTTGCCAATAATTTTTTCTGTGTCTTGACAATGAATTGCCCACTAAGCAGGTAAGAAAAGTTGGGCGGAGTTTGCTGATTGCATAATGCAATAATCTCCACTTAAAAGGTTTTCATTGTCTCGAAACAATTGAATATAATCACATGTTAAGAAGTCGCTATTCAATAAAGAAAACGGATGCTATGAGAGATCCACGGGTTTCCGCCATTCATGCCTATCAAGCGATTTACTTGCATTACTAGTGCTCTAGAAGTAAGTTCAAAAGAATTAGCACTTGTGCAGTGGGTACATATTCATGAGGACAATGAACTTTTCCCTTCATCTTCACTCCTTGAAGCGAAAAAACATACTTCCAGGCATATATAACTTCTGGAAAACGTTGTTCGGAAACATACCTTCCCACATGGAACCTACTACAGTTGTATCTAACTAAATGGTCGCTCAACGAAATGATTCAGGGCTCAGAAAAGGTGCCCTCGTGAATTTAGCAAACTCCTGCACTTCATGCGCACGTCTTTTGCCAGAAAGTAAATACGACCCCTCCAACAATGAGCAAGTACGATCCCCCCTTTTAGAATCCGTGAAGCGAGAAAACCAACTATCAAAATAAATTTTTTCAGCCCAAATACGACCCCCCCCTCTCCTGGCTACGACCCCCGCCCCTGTTGGGGACCCCTACAACGATGGGCCCTGGGTTCAGGAGTAGAGAGTAAAGGAATAACTGGAGAATATTTGAAGGTCGGAAGCTCATTACCAAGGAGCTGACACATAACTTTATAGAAAGTATGTCAGCTTTAGTTGGAGAAGAAAATCGTACGATTTCTTCAGATATCGAATCTATGTATATTGCAAACGCACCATTTATTTCGTTGTTGACTTCGTAGTCTTCGATAATATCCACGTCCGTAAGGTTGTAGTTTGCTAAAACAAACCTGAACGGCATTCCTAAAAAGTAAATAATCATTTGAAAAAAAACACGAAAATTGGCAATGGTCGACTGTTCTAACAGCTCGATTAGAAAGTCTTGACAATGTTGTTATCAAGGTAGGTAAAGCTCGATAGTGGTTGCCGTCGCAGTAGTTGTAGTCACGATACTGGAGTCGGAGAGCAATCCTACCCCTTCCCCTCCCCCCTCAAGCCAGCTCAGAAAGTTGGTCCGATTTTATTCCGGTTGAAGGCATGGAGACCTTACAAAGTATTTCCATCCCAGAGAAGGGTCAGTAGTTTGGCTGCAACAGGCTGCTGTATTGCCCATCATTACGACCCCTCCCTCTCGTGAAGAAACGTTTTAAGGTTTACCATTGAAATTGATTTCAAACTTGTTTTTGGTATGATAACTGCTGCCTAAGCCGCAGCTCGCGCTTCAGAAGTTATCACAAAATACTGAGATATGGGCAAAAGTCGGACCCAGGACGCGACTTGAACGCGTATCTCCTGCTCATCGAGCGGTCGAGTTATCCATTAGTATCTCAACGTTCAACATTCGGAGCGAGCTGCACCGTTAAACAACAGTTATCGTACCGAAAACAAGGTTGAAATCAATTTCATTGGTAAACCTCAGTTGGTCACGGGTTCAGCAACGCATCCTGACCCAGTTTGGCGGACGTGCAACTCAAGAAAATTCCAATTTTTGATTACTTATGGAGCAGAAACCACTTCCTTCATGACGTGATCCAGGTTCCCACTGCATATGCGAAAGTATACCACCTTCATCAATGCGTATTAAAGAAACTAGAAATTCGTGATTGTTCAGCGTACTGACGGCTTCACTCATTGACGGTTGGAGCGCTGTTCACCCACACTCTCTCAACGAGGTAATGGTCGGAATTGTATCTGGACATATTTCTGAGGAGAACTCGACAGCGCAATTTTACTAAATAGCATTTTATAGCATTTTAAATAGCACAGCTATTAATCAACTTCTTTCCCAACGCAGTAATGTTGTGCGCCGCGTACAGAGCCATTTCGAGCGAAAACTCTTCGATTTTGTTCCTTTGAATCGGAGTCAAATGAGCGTCGCGCAACTCTCAGAGGGGGAAGGGGTATGCTTCTAGTTCTCCGTAATTGTGAGATAGGAGCAAATAGGACTGAGTCCTGCCTATTTTATTGGCAATCCGCCGTTGGTTAAGAGCCGAAAACTTGTTTCTTTCTTTCTTTTGGAGACAAAGAGGACGTGGTATCACAAAGGGGCATATAGCCGTTTACTACATAGTAGCGTTTACTTGGTTTTCAACAGGAAATTCTGACAAGTTGTTTGTCATGGGTGGGCCTATAGCATGAAACCGCGGGAAATCGAAGCAATACTCCCTAAAAATCTTACAGAAAGCGTCGTTTACTGAAGAGTGTCTTCCACTGTCTTTCGAACAGCCACCCTTGGATAACATTACGAAATTGGACCAGCACTTCAAGAAGGTTGTGCTAAAATATGTGGTGGACTGATAGTGGTGAACCGCAGTGTAGCTTATAGCTGTGACGTTCGTTTCACTTAATTTATAGAATAATTCGATCCGGTACAGTTACAAGACGTCAGAGGAGGGGGGAGCAGGATAGCTGTAAATTCTTGTCAATCTGCCAGACAATATTTCGCCAAGACTATTTATTGAAACAGCGAGCGAATTTCGCAATTGATATTCTTGGCGAAATATTGCTGGGTAGATTGACGGGAATTTACAGCTAGTCTCCTGTTCCCAAACGAGAAATAGCGAACAAAAAAATAGTGTTCATGAAGTTTTAGAACAACTAGGAGAAGTCTTCCTTGCTGTACAGAACCGAAAATTTCAATATGCGAAGAAGGGCATCAATATCTCTTTTCTTGATGATACATAGTTTTGGTGTGCAATCGACAGCTACCTTGAAAAGCCTTGGGCATGATGGCTTGGGACGGGCTCTTACTGCCAAGGTCACTAGTGGAAGAGCACGTTCGCCAAGTATGAACGCGCTCGAAAGGCGGTGAGAGGGCGTTCGAGCACACCCCACTGAGCCCTTCCACCCGTGACCAGTGGCAGTACCCCTCCCCCCCCCCCATGTAAGTTGCCTGCGTATACAAATTCGTGCAACATTAAAAGCGAAGCATAAATATCCTAACATTGTAGATCATCACAAAATTATCGAAACTCTAGCACTGGGTAAAAATACAACCAACGATTGCCAAAGAAAACTGTGAATAGTGAGCCCGATTGTTTGTCGCGCTCACAGAAACGGGTTATTGATGCCGTGGTAAAGTACACTCTACAGTGATCAAGGACCTGTCATGGCAATGTCAAGAATGATCCCTGTCGAAGAAGTTCCAAACGGCCGACGCAAATGACCACCAGTCTTATTTTTATCTTGGGGAATCTTATTTCTATCGAAATGTGCAACAGAGTGCTCAGGGCTCCTTATGTTCTCATCCCGCAGAAACCTACCGATTTTCTGATCCACTCAGGCTCAAATGTGTGGCTCTCCGACAAAATGACTATCGTTGCTTGTCTTCTCTCTTTTTCAGCATTTTACTGCACCTGAGATAAAGCAATAGGAATGACATTCTCAAATCTTTGGCATTTGGGCTCTCTGCCGCTAATCCCCCTTTTCAGCCTTCCTCCTTTCCTTTTCAGGTAATAGAGCCATTTATCCGCTCATCTCTGCAAAAGCGGGAATAGTCCAAGCACTCTTCAGAGATATGTAAGCGGTTGTATGTACCTGAGTAGTGGGGATCTCAGCACTCGTGCAGACTCTCATTGTAGTGGCATTCGAAATTTCACGGTGCATTTGTGCAGAACCGAAAGTGAACGTTTCTTTAAATAGTAATCAATCAACTGCGTTTTTAGACCGACCTGATGAAAGGGAGCGTAATGCGTATGAAAAACAAAGAAAGGTATAAATGTCACGTTGCTGCATTTTGGCAGACAGGAACAATTAGACGGAAAAACAGTGAACAAACCGACGCGCTGTTATGAGGGTCACCAGGGAGCGCACCAAAAGTACCTTTCTCTATCAGGTCTTACAGGGAAAGGTTTTCTGCTCCCAGTGGAGCGTTAGATGAAGATCAAGCTTTCATCGCATACACTTTTAATTTTATAGAGGAAATAAGGCGATATTGAAGTTCAAGTTTCCATGTCTACAACTCAGCTGCTGACGTTGCACAAAAATTTCAATTATTTTCAACGGTGTTTGCGCTTACGTAGCTCGTTTTCGTTATATTAGGTTGATCAAAAAGTTTTGATAGGGTTGAGATTTTTCTGTTTTATTTTACAACTCAGCAAACAATGCAAGCTAATCAACAATATAATAACCACAAAAGTTGATCTAGGCCGTTTTTCTCGAACGGCTTCCGCAAGTTTCTGCAGCTGACCAGCGTAATAGGGAGCGGTGACGGTGTGGCCTTGCTTGAGCAGTTCGTAGTACAGCATTCCTTTTGAATCCCAGAAGCAGCAAAGGAGAAACTTCTTGGGGTGGAGGTCGGATTTGGCTTGCGTCGGCGGCTGTTCTCCTCGCGGGAGCCAGACGGCGCGGTGCTTGTTAGCGTCGTAGAGGATCCAGCTTTCATCTCCAGTAACTAGGTCCTCCAGAAACTCCTTGCGATGTGGGCGGAGAAGGAGAGACTGACAAATGGATACCCGGGTGTACCGCATGCTATCGGTCAAGACATGAGGTATTCATCGAGTCAGCACTTCTCTGTGACCGAGGGCCTGAAGGCGACTGTTGATTGGGCACACCCAAGTCTCGTCGCAAGACTGCGGTTGTTAACTTCCGGATCCTCTTTGACGGCGTCGAGAATGACGGAGTCGTCGACGGCGAGGGGCGTCCCGACCGAGGCTTGTCTTCGAAGTCCGTGTCTCCTTCCTTGAAGCGAGCGAACCAGCGATGGACCGTAGCGATGGAAGTGGTGTCCTCCCCCATACGCTGTTGATGTTGCGAACGGTTGCCGTCGCTCCGGTGCCGCGGCGCCACTCGTAGAAGATGATGTATCGAACATGGTCTCGTGGAACTGACATCGTGATTTAACACGTTGACGACGATGGCAGACAATGGTGGCTGACAGCCAGTCTGTCTCATGGGACGATGGCAGACAATGGTGTCTGCCAGTATATTTTCTAAGAATAAAGATGGACGAACAGCCAAGTTTGTCGTGAACGTGTCCCTGGGGGTAGCTTGTCCCTCTGAAATGAATACCACAGCTGCTTGGCGCAAACTACCTGGCGCCCGCGCCACAGGCGCCGGCGCCAAAATACCGTAAATCACCAAATTAGCTGAAAGTTTGTCCCCTGGGGTAGTTTGGCGCCGTGAACACGAATATCACAATCGCTTGCCACGAAACCGCCTGATGACGATCAAGAACTATTTTGTATTGACATCAACAAATATGAACAGCATTTTAAGGCTTGTCCTTCATTTTTACCTTCAATAATTATAGTTCACTTTGCAATAATACATTCACGCAACACAATATAATACATATGCAATTAATCAACAGTTGTGGGTTTTTTGGAAACAATCTAAACAACAGCATTTGCGTTGCAGAGCGTTGTCAACGTAGCGTAGCGCCTATGGCGCAGGCGCCACAGACAATTCTTCATACCGACCCGAACTTTCACTGCACCCGCCCGCCCACAAATGGACGACCGTACCTCACCGTATGGACGACCGACTCGGTTGCTTCATTCGCTAAGTAAAATATGAAGCGAAGGATTGGTATGAAGCGGCCGCGGTGCTGCATGGATATATGAGTACATACGTGCAGCCGTACCTACCGTAGCGGTTATTGGCAAGATGCCTACGGGAAACTCGCCCGAAATTGTTTTCTGCGTCACCAAAAACGAAGGCTTTTTCTCGCAATTTCTTTTCCTTTTCACTTCGTTTTTTTCAGTCTTTTGCCACCATCAGCACATTGTCGGCATTTTGGGATGCAGTCCATTGTCATTTGTTGAAAAAAAAACTGATTTTCCACAATTTTTGCCAATAATT